ATATTTATGAGCAAGGTGGTTATTCGCATTGTTTCCTAGTACTACAGTGTCCTTATGGGGAACAGCTGCCTGGAGCACATGTGGATGATCTCCCATCCGCTTTTAATCCAGAGAGGTTCCAAGGAAATAGTCTATTCACCAGTTCCTTGGTCTTTGCCGTAGTCCTCAGCTCTGCCTTTGCAGAGCTGTCTTTAGTTCACCATACTTCCCATGGCAGTCTCCCTATTCAGTGGATTTTTGGATGAATTTTACTGTGGACTTCACACACAACGAAGAGATCAAAATCTGAGGATTTTTGGCATAGTTCAAACAGTTCACATAATATATTCCATTTATGTCAATATTTCAATTTACATCATTTGCATAATGATGTAATAGATACTTTACGTCATTTGTATCAGCTTCCCTAATTTCCCTAATTGCATTATAGACATTTGCATCTTTTTTTGTCATTTGCGTAATTATATAATTGATGTTGCCCAAGTAACATAAATTGGTGCGTGCAATGTAAAAATGTCAAGAACATAATTATGCAAATGATATACATTGCATCAATTAGGTAAATTTGGATTTAATAGACATTTGGCTTTAACAAGCACCCTTGCTCCCCAAATAGTCCATTAAATTGAGGTTTTACTCAACAAAATATTGCAGTGTGGAATCATCACCTGAAGGCTCTTTAAACAGTTGTAACATGACCTTGCTATGTTTCTCCAGACAGCAATATACAGTGTACAAATTAGAGATCTCTTTTTGTAATGCCACTCCGTGCTGTAAAATACCAAACATATTGAAGCTGCAGCATGTCAGAGATGTTCTGGCAATTTTTTCAGTGATTGGACAATCATAATCCTGATTAAGGGACCCTCAGCAGTTCAGATCTTTTAAACCGTACTGGTAGTGCGTGACTTACAGCCTAAATAGAGCCTGCCCATTACAGATATAAGTCATAACAATTGTAAATCGGGTTATCTATACGACTGATCTGATTTTACTACCTTTTTGTGGCAGTTGTTAAGTAAACATGCCGGTTGTTAAGCGAATGCTGTGATCAGTACACAAATGGATTTGTTCAATATGGACTACTTTTGCAAAAGCTGGAAGTAAATGCCCCCCTTTTTTTGAAAACGTTGTAAAACATGGTCATGTGATTACGAGAGAGCCAGAAACATGAGTTGATTGCCAAACGCCCAACATGAGCTCATGTAATTATGGGGGAGGGGTGGCACTGTCAGAACTTCAGAACAACATCATAAGTATCCCCGTGAATGTCCGTCATAATATAATTCCATATAGAATAAAATAGAATTCTTTATTGGCCAAATGTGATTGGACACACAAGGAATTTGTCTTGGTGCAAATGTTCTCGGTGTGCATAAAAGAAAAGATACATTCGTCAAGAGTCAAGAATCATCAGGTACAACATTTAATAATAACTTCAAATAGTTGGTAAACGACCAGTTGTAAGTCAAAGACTGCCCAGCTGTCCTTGACTTTAAAAAAATATTGTGGGAAGTGAGCTTTAAGAGTTCTGGTGACCTTCTCAGGCAAATCAAGGAACATGACTTTTCTCAAATCTACTCAGGTTCCTTATTGAGAAGGGCATGGGAACAAACAGGGGTGTTATGGCTTCCAGTGGAAAAACAAAACTCCCTGAAAAAAAGACAGATTCCCTCATAAGCAGAAAAAGAACCTCCGAACCTCATATGCATGGAGGAGGAGTGACTTGATTTGAAAACAAAGATGTATTTATGTATTCCACTGACAAAATTTATTGACAGCGGAGGACCTCAAATTATGCTTTCTGTTCATGAATGTGCATACACTAGTTAGATTCATGTGGTTCTCTGCTTTGCATGGATAGCACTGTTTTCATGTCTTAATAAGCAGAAACTGGGGTAAATATGAGAAGCTAAGAAACCCGGTGCTGAATTAAATCAAAAGCTTAGCTGGTGTAGTATTTGGAGAGGAGGAGATACAATTGCCTTCAAATATCAGAAGAATTGTCACTTGAAAAAGGGAGTGGACTTTGATGTTCCCAGAGGGCAGGATTAGAATCAATTGTCTTAAACGAATAGGAAGCAGATCTAGGCTAGAGATTGAGAAGAGTTATTCTGATTATGTGGTCTGCCATACACAGCCATGTGTCTCTCAAAAATGGCCTACAATGATCTAGGAGTTGGATAGGATAACCTCTAAGACACCCTCCAACTCTATGATTCTACAATTCGTTTCTATATACAGGTTGTACAGAAAATGATATTGAGAGTCCTCTGATTGCAGAATAAGTTTTAGCCATTAATGCTAATAGCTCTATTCTCCATGAATTTCTCTAATTTAAAGCTACTCAAACTGAATGTCATGACTACATCTGAGGGAATTCCAGATTTCAGCTTGTGTACTGTGTGAAGAAAGACCTTTTGTTTCTTCCTAATCCCCCACCACTAAGCATTATTTGTTGACCTCAAAAGTCTCTACATTACCCATACCATTTGTTCAATCAATCAATCAATTATATTTCTGTCTCGCTCAGGAGCTCTGGGAAATAAGAGGGGCTCTGAGCAGTTACGTCTCCTTCCTGAACTATCCTTCTAAACTAACATGATGTACCTAGAACTTTCTAAACTGGAAAACCCTCTGTAATACTGTCCTGGATGTGCTCATGTACGATTGTATTCATAGGGGATTTGGGGAGTCATTTTAAGGGTTCTCGTGGATTTGAAAGCATATTGACTTAGGTTCTTAAATTAAAAACAATTATTGTCTTCCACGTTATGCAATTGGGATTCCTGGGCCCCAATCTACAAGATTTGAATAAAAGAAATAAGCAGGGTATTACAATAGCCACCTCCTGACTGTTCTCTAACTGCTAATTTTGGGATTTTAGTGAGTTTTATTGCTCATAATCTTATTCTCTAAATTCAGCATCCAATTGCTTAAAACTTGCTCAGTCCAGATTGAATCCTATATTTTTTTAAAAAATCAACAGGTCTCCCCTACATAAATTTTCAAGAGAATAATCACCTCCATTAACTCCTGTTGATGCAACATTATTAGCAAGCTATTAACCTGTTTAAGTCATTTAAGTGTACAGAACTGTACTTGTTCTTTATTTGTTAGCAAAATACAATTTTCTGTTTATAGCAGCTTGGAAATATTTACAGAGAGTTTATTCCTATTTTAGGAATTGATTTTTTTTGAAAGATGTGGAGATATAAAGATGTTGCCTGCTTATTTATTTCTCAGTTTGCAATGTATCCATTGCCCCAAAGCTTTTTTTGAAAATGCTATTACTTATATGTTAGACATGTCCTTAAAATATACAGGCTGTCAATAAATATAATATAGTGGCTATGATCAACTTTTGAAGTACAATGATCGACCTTTTTTGCAACTTTCAATAAAATTGATGATTCATCCCAGAGATGAAACATATTTTGTTAAAAGGATGGTATCTAGGGGCTGGGGAGCTTGAATAAAATCTTGTATATTCTGTTATTTGGCTCATATTCCCCCTTATATAGTTTTCAGTTGAACTGTTTAGGTCTTTATGTAAGGTAGTAACTCTTTATTATACATAGAAATGCCGTGGAGAAAATATAACAGAGGACTAACCTGAGTTTTCATTGGATCTGAATTCCAGTTGTGGGATTTCATTTACCTATAGAGTGACTTCAGCATAATATTAGTGTTAAAAATGCACTAATTTAAAATAACTTGAGGGTGCAAATGAGCACTGATCGCTGATTCTTTTAGGATGTTGGCTGTGTTGAATAACATGTTTTGGAATCTTGATTTAATAAAATAGAATGATGACAAGTAGCATACAAACCGAAATGTTGCTAATCCCTTTGCATGAATAAGTAAATAAATCTGGAAGCAATACCTCCATATCAATCACTATCAGAAATCATCTTAAAATATTATGATTTAGTAAGCAAGGATTCATGGTTTAATTCAAGCTTATGTTTAATTTCCATTCTCCTCTATGAGGAGCTAAATAGAAATTTTAAAGGCTGTTCTAGCAATATGTATGACTCTGGCCTTTCAAAATTATAAAAGTATTTTTGTTGTTATGTGGGAACTTGTATCTTTAATTAGATATCCCTTTAGTTTCAAAAGTTAATTCACATTTTTGCCTGGCTTTGCATATTCATGCAACCTGATGAGCATGTTTTACTGTTCCCAAAAGACTGTTGCCACATTCTACTAGTAAATGAATAAGTGTTGCTGTTAGATATACACATTAACTTACGTAGATCTTTGCAAACACCGATAAAGGCCCAAAGTCAGAAAGTACATTACATTACTTTTGGTAAATATATCAGAAAGTAAAGCAAAAAAAAAAAAACCACTCTATCTGTACATAAAAATTCTGGAGTAAGGGTATGCTTCAATCAGTAGATTGCTTATTTTAATAGAAAATAAGATTACCTGATTGGATTGCAATGATGTAAATAGAATCTTGTTGAATAATACTTTCCAGTAGGTTATCATGAATTGCTCAAACACTTGTTTTTAACCTATAAAGCACTTTATGGCTTGCTTCCCAGGTATCTTCAGAATTGCCTTTTTCAACTGGTATTAACCTGACCAATGTGCCTCTCGGGATAAATTAATTTCTGTAAGATAAAAAGGCAAGAGGAATCTGATACTGGTTTTTGGTAGCAATCCTGGACTCAGCAAAACTGTGAAATAGTCCTCCTGCTAAGGCCAGACAGGTGCTTAGTTATTGGAAGCCCATTTAATACCAAATTGCTTTTAGGTTTTATTATGTGATTACAACAGTATACAAATTTGATAAAGAATTATTCCATTGTAATGGATTGCATAACATGGATGAGTCACACAGTGTAATAGGTAAAATGATGGGGTGAGGAAGCTGGAATAAAATTTCTCATAATTCATCCATGAACTGCTTTTTCTGGGGGGAAAATGTGGAAACAATGCCCTTTGTAATCAGTGCTGAGACAATATAACCTATGCCTTGTTGTTCGTAGGCCTCAACCAAGTTAAGCAAGGGACCTGCGAGGTGGTTGCAGTGCATCGGTGTTGCAACAAGAACAGGATTGAAGAGCGGTCACAGACAGTCAAGTGTTCTTGCTTCCCAGGTCAGGTTGCAGGCACAACACACGCGCGGCCATCTTGTGTCGAAGGTAAGGATTTTTTTTACCTTATTGGCTTCAGAATTGAAAGACTCTCTCCGTCTCCTTGAAGTTGTGAATTCATAATGGATAATAATGAAAATAAATCCTTCTCTTTATTAAAATTAGTCATATGTTTCTTTACATGTAATTGGTAATTAAATTATATAATTGATACAGTTAATTAGTTATAGCAGTGAGATGTTAATAGTTATATTAATAGAGATAATTAGTTGGATCCTAACCCAAAGGGTCAATCTCCTAAAATTAAGTATTTGTTCATGCAGTCTTCTGCCAGAATGATTACTTGTTATGTAATATACCCCTTTGCATGGAAAAGTCTACTTTGAACCTGGCCTAAATTTAACAAAGGTCTTTTGGATAATTAATCCAGGAATAGCCAATTTGATCCTATTTGATATTTTTCTAGCCAAGAAAAAAAACCCCACAGGATAAAAGAATTAGTTAACTATGCAAGAAAAGTTAGCCTCCACCAAACGTGGCCATTCCCACTTTCTTCCTCCCACCCCTACCCCCACAATTCCACAAAACCAGAACACATCTATCACTTTTGTCCACTAAATCTCTTGAAATGGTGTAAATCTTGACTTTGAAGCATGAAGAAACACAGTAGGATTTTGCAGTTGATAGGAGGAATGGAATTTCTTGTTTCTTTGAACCCTCATGGTGCAGCGGTTAGCATGCAGTATTGCAAGCAAACTCTCCCCACAGCCTGGAATTTGATCCTCATGAGACTCAAGGTTCACTCAGCCTTCCATCCTTCTGAGGTTGGTAAAATGAGGACCAAGATTGTTGGGGGCAATATGCTGACATTGTAAACTGCCCAGAGAGGGCTATGGAGCATTATATAAGTCTAAGTGCTAAGTGCTATTCTTTATCCATATGCCACCTTTCTTGTAGGCGACTTATATAAGGTTCTGGCTTCACTTTTATCCCCATAATAGGAGTCCTAAGGAGGAAGATAAGGCTGAGACAGGGAAATCCATGGAGTTTCCGTGTCTGAAAGAAATTAAGTCCATTATATACATATAAAACAAACTGGAAACAGAGTGAAGTGAAGTCAGCAGAAGTCAGCAGAAAATGAAGATCATCTTCTAGTTATCTTCACAGGGCCATGCTAGTAATGAAGACAGGAATGATGAGACCTGTTTCTATGAGATTAAAGGTGGTATTCAGCAGGTTCTGACCAGTTCTGGAGAACCGGTAGCGGAAATTTTGAGTAGTTGAGAGAACCGGCAAATACCACCTCTGACTGGAGATTTTACAGTATCTTCCTCTGCCACGCCCACCAAGCCACGCCCACAGAACCGCTAGTAAAAAAATTTGAATCCCACCACTGGATTAAACTACATATGGAATGGGCATTTCTGTGTTAGAGCTATTTAAAAAATACTTGCCATTTGAATTATAGCCTGGTTCAAAGAAAAAGGCAACATATGTGTGAATACAGGTATTGAATTTGGCCATCAACCTTAACCTCAACCTAAGGAGCAAAGTGAATTTGTAGTACAACTACCTGAGCTGAACTGAAAGAAATGGATGTTCACTAAACTCTAATTCTCTTTGCTGTTTTCCAAAGGTCATCTTGATTTTTGTCGTTCGGGCTGAGTAACACTGATAGTCTCCTGGTTACATTTGCTTTCCATAATTTGCTTTTGTGTTTAAATGAGAATTTTTCTATATAGATATATATCTTCTGTTTCTTTTCTTCCTCTGTCTGTCTCTGGCAATACATTAGAGCAGCCATCCTCATCTGGATAGGTGGACATTCTGAAATTATATCTGTTATTTTAATTTCTTCAACAGATATGATTTCCAATGAAAATGTGAAGGGTTTCTCTTCCTTGATTTAAATGTATATTAATAGCTGAAATTTAGATTGCTTTAAGCAAAATCAAGGAATTGCTTAAATATGACTCTTTCCTTCCCCCTACTCCCCAACAGCAGAGTGATTAGATTTCTCTCTTCTACTGGATAGTTTTTTGTTGAGCAATAAGAACCATACATTCTACTTAGTGCTTCTGTCAACAGCAGTGAAATATCCTAAGATATAAAATGTGGAGAGATTTATATTTGAATGAAAGCAAAACAGTACGTGATTTAATAGCTTCTTGATAATTAATATTGACATAGAAAACATATTTATTAATCTATGTTGAAGATATTTAACTTCTCTTTTCATTGCTTTCCACACAAAACCATATCCTTCTAAAATGAATTAGCAACAACACAGAACTCCATTTTTCCCCTAATTTCTCTGATGTTTTAATCTATGAATTAACCTAAGGTTTTTCAATGGTAAAATATGCTTTAGTCAAATTATAGATTACAGTTATGCTGCTAACTTTTGAATCTTATCTAATGTTTATGTGTTCCACAGTTTGGAAGAGATATCAAATTTATTTTTCAGGCAGTTTAAGTGTTATGACACTTTATGGGGTTCTAATCAGTAATATTTGGATGGGTGATAGAATTAGAAAGACAAGGCATCAAGACAAAAACATATTATGGAGGCAAGCACCAAGAGTAGGTGCAGATATAGAATACAGAAAAAATAGGGTTGGAAGGGACCTTGGAGGTCCTCTAGTCCAACCACCTGCTCAGACCAGAAACCCTATGGTCTCTGGACACATGGATGTCCAAACTCTTCTTAAAAACCTCCAGTGATCAAGAAGGACAGAAACTCAGCTACAAGGATTCAGCTTGTATAGAACAAGTGGGGGATAAAGCAGGACGAATGGTGTAGTTCACATGTCAAACTCACAGCGTCACGCTGATGTCATGTGATGTTTCATAACGTTTTCCCCATTTGCGGAGCTGGGGTGGGCATGGCCTGTGACAAATGTGGCCAGAGGACCACCAGTTTGACATCCCTGGTGTAATTCACCCACTTCTGGGGGGATAAAATTGTTTGCACTAAGTCCCCATTATGTTTTGGATGTTGACCTTTGGTTTCCTGCTGGTTAGAAAGTTTTTCATTTGGAGATGAACATAATGTAACTGATGTTAGTATTGATCTTATGTTTTAACGTGTGTGTGTGTGTGTGTGTGTGTATAAAAACAAATACAATAAAAAATAAAAAAACAAATTTATATATATATATATAGCCAAACCAATGAGAACACACCCCCACCCAATCAGAACACAGCCAAGCCCCCACCCAATCAAGTTAAACAGTTAACAGTTAAAAGGAAGAAGCAGCTGCAAGCTCACATTACTCTGAGAAGCACAAAGCCGAAGACACAAGCCTGAAGATGATGAATGAGACTTCATCAAAACGTTGCCTAGATACTTCCAATTTTACGCGGGAGAAAACCCGAATAACCAAGGATCCACATACATACATATACATACACACACACACACACACACACACACACACACACACACACATATATATATATATATATATATATATACACCTTGTTTCTCCAACAATATGGCCTCCCCCAAGGGGAAGTCTCAGCATGTTTTATAGGCATGAAATGAAATTAAGGCCCTCCCCCCAAATTAAGGCCTATATTAAAACATGCGAAATGGGGGGAATGGTGGGTGGGGGCTTGCCATTAGGAAGTACTTTTGTTGCACACCCAGATATGGTGCTGCCTGTGTTGACCCCAATACGAAGTGCCCCACCAACGTCGAGGTCAACATCCAAGCCGTCGCCACCCGCCTGAAGATGCGGGGGGGGGAATTAAGTCACCCCCGAAAAGACGGCCTAGCCATTTTTCGGGGCCCCCCAAAAATAAAATAAGATCCGGCCTTATTATATGAGAAACATGGTGTGTGTATATATATATATATATAAAATCTTTGGCTCCTTTTACATGTTCATCTGAGCACAAAGGTGGAGTGTAAATTTTTTAAACATTAGATACATTATGGAAGGGCCTATTATGAGTGCAAGGGCTAAATTGATTAATGATATATAAAGGCATAGTTGTCTGTAATGGTAGTTTAATACTCTGACGATGTCAGCAGAGACTGACGAAAGCTTAGTAAATATAATCAATATAATTTTAGTTCTGGAGATATCTATCTATCTATCTATCTATCTATCTATCTATCTATCTATCTATCTATCTATCTGTAAAAGCACAACAATAAAGACATGGGAAAATACCCGAACAAAGCTGAATACCATACATATAAATACCTGTGAAAACTTAAGAACACACACACACACACACACACACACACACACACACACACACACATGCACACACACACACGTTTTAGTTGCCTCAAAAGATAACTGAAATATATTTGACTGAATCTTTTTACAAGTAATCCCCTCAGTCAGGAGAAATACAGAGTAAACTTTTATCTCCCTAAAAGCATTTATGCATTATCTCAAGTTAGGTGGAACATCATTTATTTTTGATCTGGTGAAATCTCAGGTAAAAGATCAGTTCCCTGAGACACCTCATTTATTCCCAATGTCACATATTAACTTCTCTTATTCAGAGATTAAATGTTGCTTGTATGTTTACTTTTCGTACGTCATACATTTGGGCAAGCAATTCAAAATGTAATCTCTCTCACTCTCTCCACCCCCTTCTGCTCTGTCTCCCCTCTCTCCATCCCCTCTCTTTCCTTCTCTTCCTCTCTCTCCGTCTCCTTATCTCCTTCCCTTCCACTCTGTGTGTGTATCTCTGTATGTGTTTGTATATGTCTACATCTATTCCAAGGCAAAGCTGATAGCTTTTTATATACTGTGCACTGTGAAACAATACACCTTATGATGTGGAATAAATTCAAGATATTTGCTTAAAATATGCATGGCAGAGGTAGATTCCATTTGGTTTTTTTTTTTTTTTACAATATTCTAATATTTTCCCTAACAGATCTTTCTTGAAACTGTTTACTTCATATTTTTTGAGATTTAACAAAGGAAATATTATGTATACGTTTATTAGATGTACAGTATAGGCAACTCTACATTTCTCTTTTAGCTTAGAGTGTTTTTTTTAATTTATACTATAAACCC